TATATATATATATATATATATATATATATATATATATAACACTTAAATTCTTGGTTTTATGTTTATACAAACAACCATTTTACATGAAAGAGATTTGGATTTAGAACAATTGATAAATAAATAAATAAAAATTATATAATAAAATCATTTATCTTTGGTACAAAGCGACAGGGCCACATAATATCAACCAAAATAAGTTGAACGGTCAAATGTGATAGTTTTTTTTTAAACGCGGTTGATTGGGCCAAGGTTCTTTATTCAACTCATACATGATAGAGGGAGGTTAATTTCACAATGTGTTTGAGAGAGAGAGATCAATTTCACAATGTATGAGAAGGAGAGGGCCATGTGTGTGTTGTTTTTGAGAGAGGGGGGCGCCAATTTCACAATCTGCGCGCGTGAGAGAGAGATTAACTTCACAATGTGTGTGCGTGTAAGTATGAGAGAGACCCATTTCACCATGTGTGTTGCGAGAGAGATGGAGGTCAATTTCACAAGGCTAGCAATGGGCCGGGGAGCTTGGCCTTGAAAATTTCGGGCTTTAGCAACAAAATTTTGTTTTTTTTGTTTTGTTTGATAAAAATTCTATTACTTTATCCAACTAAAGGAGATTATAGAGTGAGTCAGCGACAGTTTCAGAAAGGATGAACCCCTTTTAACAAGGGAATCAGCCAATACATTCGCTTCCTTATAGACATGTACAAAAAAAAAAGGAGAAGGGACGAAAAAGGTTTAAGATTTGAAGAAACAACTTCTGCTTCCCCTTACACCATTTAATGACATTCAACGAGTCACCTCCAAAACCACAAAAACTTATCAATTTTCTCTCCACAAAGATACGAAAGCCAAAGAACAGTGCAAATAGTTCGACATAATTAGCAGTACGCACCCTTAAAGCATCAGCATACGATAATATAACAGTCACTCGCCAATCTCTGAGAACACCACCAAATCCAGCAGGACCTAGGTTTCCTAAAGAGCTGTCATCAAAGTTTAACTTAAAAACCCCAACAATCAGAGCGCCCACTTACCTTTCAATCTACACTTCAGAAAGCACAATTGGAAGAACAACTTTAAATTACTCCTAACATCTACCTCCGAGATATCTTGACCAAATTTAGTAATTGAAAGATATAGCAAAATAACATCTAGAATCTTCTCTCAAACGATCTCAAATGGCAAACTTATCCCATCAAACACTCCTCTATAGCCACAAAATTTTGTTTCACACAAAGTCACCACAACCTAAGGGTGGGGTTAGGGGCGGGCATGGACTAGGGCCAGGTAGGGCTACCTTGCTCTGTATTGTGCCTTACTCTCTTTCCTTTGAATCTATCATACTCGAACACTCTCGGACAAAGCTGAGGCCCGTCTTGGGGTGGGGCCAGCCTGGTCAGGCCCTGGCCCCAAATCGGTACTAAAGTCACAAGTAGGGCCCAAGCCAGGTCTAGCCCTAAATTTAACAATGTGTGTACTTGAGAGAAATGGATGTCAATTTTAGAGAGAGAAAGAGAGAGAGGGGGGGGGGGGGCAGCCTTTACGGCATTAGGTGAAGGTTGGAGGACTCGGGCTGGTCGTTCCAACTAACACACCCCATGCTTCCATCAAACACATTTCATACGCACCTGCCATTAAATTTTTCCAAATATTTATAAAGGGCATTCTTGACATTTTAATAGATATGAACGCATCCTTATCTCCATTTACTCTAAGACCAGGGTAGTTTTGGTCATTTTGTTAACTGCCTATTTTTTCTATGCTTTTTTTCTTTCTCCATTAAAGCGTGACATCTGAGACCATTCAAGAATCTCAGTGCTCATTTTCAAACCAGTAAGTTCTAATTATTCACTCCCACCCCCCCTTATCCCCCCGCGCCCCCCCTTTTAATAAATTTTTTAAATTTTGTTCTATTTTTTGGGAGAAGTTTCTTTTTCTGTGATCTGAGATACTGCATTCGCTTTCTCTGCATAAATCTGTGAATTTTATGGTATTTTTTAGCCCACATTCTTTCACTTTGACTTATAGTAAGCCATCAATGATTTTTTTTTTTTGTGGGGGCGCCGGGGGGGGGGGGGGGGGGGTGGGGAATTTTTGTGTGAGATTTTTAGTTACCTTGTGTAATCTGTGCTATAATCTTAGTTATTAGCGGGAATGGTTCTCATGTATGTGCAAAACTTTTCATTGATTTTTAAGGACTGATTTGTCCTGGAAAATACCTAGGGCTTCATTGATGAATTTTTCTCATTATTCTTATTTTTTAAGATTTCATTGTGGTTTGTTTCATCACTGATTTTTCAGCGACTAATCACAATTCTAGGGGTTTTAGTGTTGAAATAGTAGAACATAAACATATTGGGGTTTTTAGATATGATTTTTTATCTGTGATTGCGTTTAAATTCTGATTTGTTCTTACATTTCTAATGGGAATTGAGCATTTTTGTGGTTTCTAGAAAATCTTGATAAATTTATGTGATGGATGTGATATTAATTGGATCTGTTCTGGGTTTCTCTAGAAGTAAAACTGAACATATTGAGTTGTTTTCCTGTTTGTTTGGTCATATAGCTGTTATGGGTTGTAAGCTTGAATGGGTGTCAAAATTATAGTTGATTGATAAAATCAAAGGAAAGTAAAATGAAACTATTATAATATTCACATTTTGTGCTATTCATTATAGTACAGTTGTTTAGGGTTATTTTACAGCAAATGGAAAGCACAATGGGAATGCCATTTTGATCCTCTCTTGGATCAATTGTAAAAGATCTAGTTTGACATATTTTAATACTTTAATCTTCCCAAGTATAAGAAAAAGCCTCAGTCTACCATTCAGTTAAAAAAAAAAAAAAACCTTAATATGTTCTTTTCATATTTATTGCCCAATTAATTTCATTTGATTTATTATGACCTTTCTTTCAAGTGTTTTTAAAGTGGCATGAGTCACTGTAATTTAGGAACTGGGACACTCAAGAACCATGTCCAAACCATGGCAAACTTGTCTGGATGTTGAAATTCCTTGTCCTTGGCATGTCCATTCAATATATTTGACTTATTTTTTAGCTGTCAAAATTACATAGTTACACACCCTACTTTACTTGCTTTACTGTGTTATATGTATTAATTTTCAGCAAGTTTTGAATAGTGCAACAATAATCGCTTGTCCTATAATCGACATGACCTTCTTACAAAATTCTTAGACTTCAATACGCTGGGCTTGCCGACATTTTACAAAGCTTTAAGTTAACCTCGTCATTGCTTTCTTAAATTTTAGCATATATGTGTGCCTGTGAATATAACCATCCAAATTTAAATCACATGCTTTGTCGATTTTCAGGTGCTTGTTGGATTCTACTCTGTGGGGCATTCATTGAGTTAATTACAAGAAGCCTTATTTTTAGAACTGTGTCATTGTTCTCAAATTTGGTTTCAGGGTTTGAACTTTGTAGTGTTATCCATTGTGTTATAAATTCCATTTGATGTGATCTTTGAGGGAAAACCTTCATTCAAAATGCGGAGCTTCAATCGCAAGTTAGTGTTTTTTAACCCGTTAGTTATTCTTTTGCCCTTTGAATATCCATGTGCGACTGTTTCCTTTGCCTTGAAAGCTATATCTGTGCTCATTTCTAAATCTTATTTACAAAGACATGCTAAGGTGTGTTTTGTGATTTACTTGTTATTCTTTTCAATTGCAGTGGGCATATGAGAAAATCAAATGACCCGGGAAGACCTATTTTAACTACTGTTTTGGGAGTTGTATTTGGGTTTTTAGTGGGAATCTCATTCCCGGCTATCTCTATTACTAAGGTATAGTTTTGTTTTTTTGTTTCTTTCCATTTTGGTTTTTGCATAGATCACAACTAGCATTCTTACTTTTCCTTTATTGACAGCTCAACTTACCGTCCAGTCTTAGGCCTGCAATTGATTTTGCATTTGAGGGCAAAAGCTCAGTGATTTACTCACGAGCATCTCAAACAAATTCACATAAAAACAAAGATATCGATACACGTGTTCCCAACCAACCCAGGGTACCGGTTGTTTTGCTTATTATGTTGTTTTAGATTTGTTTGTTCTTTCATTATTTTGATCAAACATGACTTTGTAGTTCATATGATAAGAAAAGAAGAGCCATCATAATTTCATGCTTTGCTTTCATTGAGTATTAAAGTGTGAGCTTTCTTCTTCCTCCTCCTTCTCCTCATCTTCTTCTTCTTCTAGGGCTGGTACCTATTTAAATTATTATGTGAGAAATGCTTCTAAGAAGTATGTTCCTGATATCTGTAATCAGATATTTGTTGCAACAAATCCCCGTGGTGCAGAAACATTACCACCAGGCATTATTGTTGCTGAATCTGACTTCTATTTACGTAGATTATGGGGTGAACCCAATGAGGTGAGTGAAACTCTTGATAATTAAACATCTATTTTATTTGCCTAATTGTGGTTTTGGTAGCATATTTTTGGGCTGAATGGTCCTGTACCTCATTAGACTTCTGTCTTGCATGATTCTTGATGTTGAACCCATTGATTTCCCCATGTTCCAATTTCAATAAATGGTAATGTTATGGTTCTCAATTTTTAATGGTTGAAAATCGCAGGATCTAAAGATTAGGCCAAAGTATTTAGTGACATTCACTGTGGGTTTTGATCAGAGGAATAACATTAATGCAGCAATTAAAAAGGTTATATTTAGTTAGCGTTTTATATTATTATAGTTTCTTTCATTTCCTGTCCATTTGACATAAAACCCTCAATACTATGCCTCAGTTCTCAGATGATTTTCAAATTTTGCTCTTTCACTATGATGGGCGAACAACTGATTGGGATCAATTTGAGTGGTCCAAGCATGCCATCCACGTCAGTGTCCGGAAACAAACAAAATGGTTAGGATTTTAAATTCTCGGCCTTGTGCTCCATCTGTTCATTGTAGAACCAGGAACTCTAGGATTCTTGTTCTTACTTCAACTGAAGGAATTAATTTATATGGATATCAGCTACTAAATAACCCCCTTATACTTTGGACATTATATGTGGTAGCCGCTTCATGCCGTGACTATCGTTGGAATCTCTCTCTCTCTCTCTCTCGCTCTCTCTCTCTCACACACACACATGCATATATAGTGATATTGATAGAGAGAGGTTTGCAAAGGAACCCATCGATCCATATGTATGAACTTGATTACTCAAGCATTTGCTTTTTACTGGTATGGACTAATCTATATATTACAACTTTCATAGGTGGTATGCAAAACGCTTTTTGCATCCTGACATTGTTGCTGCTTATGAGTACATATTTATTTGGGATGAAGATCTTGGAGTAGAGCACTTCAATGCGGACAAGTAAGTTTTTTTTAAGTTTTATTTTTTCCTTAATGGTTGCTTAACTCCATTCCTGCATTGCTCAGATTGACTTGTTTCCTGATTCAAGTGTGTACCTCATCCTAGATACATTCAGCTAGTGAAGAAGCATGGCCTGGAGATATCACAACCTGGTCTTGAGCCCGATAAAGGGTTGACCTGGCAAATGACTAAAAGGAGGGGTAACAGTGAAGTGCACAAGTATGTTTTTGCTTTTGTTTCTTTATTCTTTTAAGAGTTAGCTCATGTCTAACTTGATGAAACATAGTTCGGTGTTAACTAAAAAAAAAATGAAACACATAATATGGTTTGGTCTTCCTCTTTGTTGAACATTCTCCAATCATGACACTGCATTTATGGTTTGTGGCTGAATTCAGGGAAACAGAAGAGAAACCTGGTTGGTGTAGTGATCCTCATTTGCCGCCATGTGCAGCGTATGGACTCTTCTGAAGAAATCTTTTCATGTTATGAAATGTGGCTAGTTTGCTAGGGTTTTATTTTTATGGCTTAGTTGTTAGGGCACAAGAAGTGAAGGTCTGAGATCCCACTTTGAAAAATGGGAGCTTTTTTAAGACGAAACTTCTGTGAGCGTAAATTTTCCTTTTAAGTTTACTGGTTCCTTTGTTTTAGAAAAGTATACCTGAAGTCCATGGCAACTCATATACATTTTGTAGGAACATTGTTGAAAATATTGGGGTTTATCTTGCTTGTTTCTGTGTTTGATATCGGATCTGATTAGTTGGGAATTTTGTTCGTTGTCTTTGATTTCAATATTATACTTACAATGGTCATCTGTAATTTATCCTTCTTCCTCTCACTTGGTCCTTGCACCTCAGTTTTGTAGAAATCATGGCTCCAGTGTTTTCTCGTGATGCTTGGAGGTGTGTTTGGTATATGATTCAGGTATTCCTTTAGTTGTTTCATTCTGCTTCTATTTGAACTTCCTCAATTTTGGTGGGACCCTCCAGTTTAGAGGATTTGCCACTCACCATGACAAGCAAAATACTCATGGTTGCAGAATGATTTGGTACATGGCTGGGGCCTAGACTTTGCACTAAGAAGATGCGTGGAGGTTAGTTTATTATTTTTAGGAAATTATGTGGAGTCCAAATGGAAATGTTATACAATGCTCCAAAGTGGTATCCACCACCGTTCATGAGACAAACACTGGTGATAACTGTAGTGGCGCCACCTGGGGCATCAGGCCAGGTGCAGTTAATCTCCACCGTCATTCATCGGGAACAGATGTTGGATGCTCCTTTGGAGTACCTTGTACTATACTCCATTGGATTTAGTTTGATAATTTTAGGTCATGTTTATTTGTATGTACAAGTGGTCAGTCCTTGTTTTGATAGTTTGTTTCTTGATCATGTAATTTCTTGTTTTGATAACACTTTCAATTAAAAAAAGTAATTTAACCCACTCCATTTCCGATGATGAATTTAACCACCTATTTTTCCCTTCCCTGCCAAAAGGAAAATGGAAACAAACTATTAGAGGACAATTAACCAAATTGGCAGGAAGCACCTTTGTACGCATCTAAAGTAGTCACTTTATAGTTTTTTAATTTGGTTTTCTGATTATGCAGCCTGCACATGAGAAGATTGGCGTAGTCGATTCACAATGGATTGTCCATCAAGTCATCCCTTCACTTGGAAGCCAGGTGAGCCTCTGACATCGAGGCCATTTGATTCGGAGATCCTAAAAACTCCCTTCATATATGGTTTGAAACTAAAAACAGAGCAAAGTTTTTCTGTTAAATTAGGAAAAAGCTAATATTGAAAATTGAGAAGTTTTCATTCTTTAGTAAAGACAGTACTTGGATACTAATGTTGGAATTTGCATTCGGTGGGGTCAAATCCAAGATGCAACAGCCACCATATGGTTAGTAGTTTCATGCAATTGGTTTGAAATTTTGGATTCATAATTATTATCAGGGTAAAACATGAAAAAATGAGGGGAAAAAGAAATAGAGGTAAAGAGTTCAAACCATGCCTGAAAGGTGTGCTGACTGCTTAATTAATCTTGAATTGAGTAAATTTATATATCAATTTACAAAATGTCTGGTTTTCTCTGTCGTAGTGGCCGTGTTTCCCCTGCTATGCTTATTTATTTAAAGCTTCTATAACACTTTTTATGATGCTTTCTGATTTTAAATTGTAATTCTAGTTTTCTGTTTATATTATGCTTATATTTAGTAGAAGAAAAATCACACTTGGCCACGCCTTAGGGTTTTCTGAAGTTTTCAGGCATTGCATCATGTTGGATCCCTTTTTTCTTTTCTATTTCTTGTTACTTGTGGGGCTCTTTATGTTTGTTTGGGATTTAGTTTTCCTCGTGATAGTCAACCTCTTTCAAACTTTGCAGGGCGAGTCCGAGAGTGGGAAAGCACCATGGCAAGGGGTATGTTTCCTTATTCAACATTTCTTTCAAAGTCTTACATTGTGTCATGATGTTAATGTAACCTCTGTGTGTGTGTGTAAAAGAGAGAGAGAGAGAGAGATTTCTTTGTATTTTTCTTGTTTTCTTATTTTTCAAATTTAATCATATATATTATCAAGTGCAGGTAAGAGAGAGGTGCAGGAGGGAGTGGACTCAATTCCAAGCTCGCCTCTCTGATGCAGAAAAAGCCTACCTATCACTACCCGAACAGGTCTAACTTCAATTGATTTGATTCCAACTAACCCAACATTTGTTTGTTTTGCCTCACTTTTCCCCATGCCATTCTTTTGCATCTCGCCCCCCCCCCC